GCCAGGTAAATCAGGCCTTTTATGCCTACTTAGTGCAAGTTATTTGGGCATTATCTGGTGTTGAAGCTTGCATGGCAGCCTCAGTCCGTCAACTTTCCCCGTGGAGGAAAAGCTGATTCATCGCCATTCAAGTCACTGATTCTCCTGCATTGATTCAGATAGAGACAAAGACCATTCAATCATAAATGTTTTCCCTTTCTTACTAGAATGTTTGATTCATCGGATCATATGAAATATTAGAAAATCAATCCACCTTAATAATCAAAGTAACTATTCTAAAAAGAATAGTAATACTTGTACATAAAAAGTTACATAATCATTTACATATAGATGAGGTGTCAAAAAGAGAGTGGAGAAGTTTTTTCATATTTAATTGAAGAAATTGTGACTCAATCACATCTCATCTCATCTTGTGTATGTAAATCATTATATACATATAGCACAACCGTTCTCAAAATACGGGAACAAAATGATTGCTATAAACAAAAAAGATTCACAGATATTTATCGAGGGCATAACAATCGTGCTTTTGCCCTATACAAGTAGCCCGGCCCCTGCCATTGCGGGGGTGGCCACTTGTCGTGTACAAGTGGCATAATTCTTAATTCGAAGTATTGTCCAGTAAAAGGAATGCTTTGTATCCTTGAAAACCCCCTGCCATTGCGGGGGTGGCCACTTGCCGTGTACAAGTGGCATAATTCTTAATTCAAAGTATTGTCGAGTAAATGGAATGCTCTGTATCCTTGAAAATCCCCAAATTCGGGGGGAATATTCCCAGACAACTGATTGGACTTCATTGTGAATATTTTATCGCAAGCGTACGATAACGTAAACAAGTAAAATAGTTGGTTAAATAGTCCAAATTATAGTTCCCTAAATTATATTTAAATAAAAACAACTAAAATTGATTTTAATGATTATCCTAAAAATTGTAAATCTCAGAATACAACTAAAAAGTGCGAATGTAGACAATTTAAGATATTCAAATGACGGTTGAAATATTAGGATTTACGAGTTTATCAAAACTATCCGTTTAGTTTAAATCTCCAAATTTCGACAACAATTAGCTATTTGTATCCAGTCAAATTCGTCTAAATTAATTTATTTACGCCTCTCGGTTCAAACCAGCCATGCTTAATTAAGTCAATTCATTATCTCTAAGTGAATTAGAATAAGCCTTAATCAAGAGCATTCAATCACCAAATAATTTAATTAAAAACAACAAAATTAGTACAAG